ACACGCGCAGACGGTTATCACGCAGCCATAGAGTAATCATTGTCTCTAGGTAGGACTATGGAGACATTTATTTTAAAGATGGTGATTTTTATAGTCTCAATTATTGTAAGTCAAGTCAGGCAGATTTAATATTTAATTCTGCCACCTTTTCCGAGCTTGAAACACTTTGGAGGATATGACTTCTAGGGACCCGAGAAGAGTTCATGACAAAGGTGGTTTCAATGAGCTCTTTATTTTAATCAAGGGAACTGTCCATATGACACACTTGATTTGTTCATGTGTATAAGAGAGAGGGATGGTCAAGTTGACCCCATTCTACTTACTGTTTGCTCGACCGGGAATAGAACCTTTCCTTTTAAGAGCAATACATATTGTTTTAATTGAAGTAGGTGATCGAGGGCGCGCTCGTTGATATTTACAGTTTGAGTCGGAGCAGGAAATTAACCCTCCGTTTTCTTTGATACCATTAACTTCCCTGAATAGTTTAAGTTATTCTTGCAAAGTAGGAGGAAGACCAGATTTGGATAACGGGGCTGGAAGTATGTTAGGGAATAACAGGGAAAAATTTAGAATCTTTCATTCAGGTGCTAATCCCGGAAAACCTTTAAAGAGAGAGAAATTGAGAGAGAAGAAGACAGAAAGGTGGAAGAGAAAAGAAAAGGAAGAGAGAGACTCGAAAGAGAAGAATGAAAAGGTGAGAGAGAGAGAACGAGGAAGAGAAGAGAAAGCAAAGAGAAAGAGAACCTTGAAAGACCGTGAGAAAAAGGAGAGGCAGGAGAGACAGATGAGAAGTACATCCAAGAAAGAGCAGTTAGGAATAGCGACAAAGGCGGAAGACACAAAGGCCGTATCGGGCTTGAGATCTTGAAGAAAGCAGCTAGAGTACTGAGGAACAAGTTAAATTCAGAGAACTGTAGAAAGAGGCAAAGATAGAGAACGTGAGAAAAACGCTTAGATGAATGTCTTGAGGGAAAAAAGCGAGAGAGTGAATCCATGAGGATATAGAGATGAGAAAAGGAGTCGCGAGCGTCGAAAAGATTCTCGCCTTGAATAAGAAAAAAAAAGTTTACACTTTGACACGAACACCATTAGAGAAGGGAGTACTTGAACATCATGCAGCTAGTGCACAATCGATTCGCGCGACACCTAATTTGACCGCCCTTACACAGAGGGTGATGACAGTAACATATCATACATCGGTCGAGTTTCTAGAAAAATGACTGCTACCCTGCTCTGTGAATGCCTGCTGACACGCTGGGCTACCAGGTTAGAATGTCTTATTTTCTGTACAGCCTTGAATATCTATGCAACTTTGTTGCAGGATAAATTAATTATTAGATCTACATGAAGAAAGTCACTCCTAAAGCATTCAAAAAACCACTACATTCATACATGAAAGATTCAGTATGCCACCTTACAGCCTGCCAGAATTTTCAGCAGTTACAGGTAACACACTTTATCCGTTTGCCCCGACTTTTGATAAGAGTTCAGGTAATTGATCACATGTATAATTCTCCGTAGAGACTCATGGTGCTGACGCAGTTGCCTGACAGGCTCTTCCCCACACACAGAATAACGACTATCATTAGAGAACGGTAACCTGATTAAAGCTGGAGAAGAGTAGTGCTGAGGTGCTGACTTGTATGCTGAGGCTCACAATTCTAAAAGAGATCAAAAGGGAACGAACCATAAAGGGCCAAATGGTTTCACCTGAACCAAAAGATTAAGAAGCCTACAGTAGAAGCAAAGTCTCACGCAGCTATTATACCAAACCTGTCATCATATGGTAGTGTAGTCGAACAATAAACGTGGTCCATATTTGTCTCCAAGAAAATAGAGAAAGTTGGTGTAGGAGTGTTTTGTTATGGTTAATGGACCAAGCACCCTTCGGTCAGGAGCAGTTAAATGTATAAAAGTCTCAGATATATTACGTTATCAACACAGGATGTACGTGCATCCGGTAATTTCGGACACACTGTTCCCTTACTTTAAAAACCTCTCGGTGATTGTCCCTCTATTCTTTCAGATTACTTGAGTGTCGTGAGAACAATACACCTTCCTACATTCTCGTTGTTACTTTGACAAAACAAAATGTTTCAACCCGTTGGACTAATGTCTATAGTACTTAGCCCCAATACATGATCTATAATAGGTGGGTAACATTAAAGGTGCCGGTCTTGCCTTCGAGCATCTTTTGTCACTCACCCGTGGATCTAAGTTTTCCAGCTCCTCTATCCTTCAAGTTTATAAATAGATCCTCCTCAAAAATCAATTCTGCAACCGAAGCTGCATTGTCCTCTACTGATATCATGATTTGGGGTGAAACAGATGATACTGCTCTCAGATAGCGAGGTAGCAGGATCACCTGTCCACATCGTCAGGTGAAAGTAAGGGTATTGCCTCCGGCACTTCTTCAATGTCTTGACTAGGGCTCAACCATACTCCCCCTGGTTATCTCCTACCTCCTCTTCTCCAACCGGAGTCTTTTCTTTTCCAAATTTATGTCCAAGGATGACATTGTCAGTATACAGCACAATTGCCCTTCACTTCGGGATATGTCATAATCAAGCTTTTACAACCAAGTTATGCCATGGGAGATACGTATCTCATAATTTGATCTATATTAATGGTATCTTAATATAAGTCGGTTTGCTTACAATCTCATTCTTCAGTGATAGAATTATTCCCTACATGTTGTTCCTAGAAACCATGCCAAGTAGAATCGTGTTCTTCAAATGGCTTTCCTGATTTGCCAATGACCGAACACCCTTGGCCCATCGTAAGAACGGGCATAAACACAAGCACAAACTTATTTTGGCCAAGCATGTACTCTCAGGTTACAAAGACTATTATAGTTCTTGCCATATGGTGTCAGAGGTGCTTACTGCTCCAAAATAGCACTACCCTCTTAAATCCGTATATTTATTAAATCATAAGAACTTCCTCCTGCATAAACGAGATACTCCAACCATAGAAAAGGAATGTTTGGGCTCTGTGTGGGGTATCTCCAAGCTTAAATATTATCTACTGGTAAAAGATTCATTTTAGAAACGGACCACAAACATTTGATATTCCTAGAAACTTTTAAGGACCACAATGCCTCTTGAGGTGGACAACTGCACTCCATGCTTTTAAGTTCCATATTGTGTATATCAATGGTTATCCAATTATTTCTCTGACTGGTTAAGTCGTGACAGTCAGTAGAAAGGATTTGTTTGCCCTTACGCAACTTCCACATGTTAGAAACTTTTTCCTCACCTATTCTTCTTATACTCCTTGACTATAAGTCTTGGTATGGTGGAGTGTGGAGGGAAAAGTTCAATAGATTAGGAGAAGCGAGGATATATAGTAACAATAGTTTCATTGCCGCTACTATGTTAAGGTGTAGGTAAGTCCAGCTCCCGCTATCACCCCCCCACCCCCCTTTTATCTTTTTCCCCTCCCCGAAAGTGATAGTTTGATTGCTGGCTGCTTGTTAAGGTAGGGTCAGTCTAGCTCCCGCTATCCCTTCCCCTCCCTCTTCCCCCCCCCCCAAAAGGTGACGTGTGGGACTCGGTCAAACAGTAAATCACTCGACTCACAGCTCCCAACACTTCTGTAAGTACACGCCTGATCATATTTTAGTGGACTTATTGGTTGAAAGCTTCACTTTTGACCAATAATTAACTGAGTCCTTTCAGTCTTTATCTGTTAAATGTTTTAATAATCACCACATCTTTTAGGTATTGTACTTATCATGGAGAGTGATTTCTTAAGCAGTGGGTAATCCGTCTCTCTTTACAGCTTGGAATGACAGAGAGGGTCACCTGCCAACCAACGAGAAGAATAGAAGGAGACGGACTAACGTCCTGAGACGTCCCATGTTTAATCTACTTACCTGTTATGTAAGCCAACACAGGACCTAACCCCTCATCATAGCAGCGGTAACGAACCTGTTTTCCTGTCATCTGAAGTAATTACTCACGGCTATACTCTGTGAAGAACGAGCCGGTGGTGGTCACCAACACCTGCTAAACCCCCCCCCCCCCCACATCAGCAACGGCTACGATTTCAACAACACGCAGTGTCACCAACACCTGACAACCATTACCACGATATACCTATATTAGCGTTGAGTTCAAATGTAATTTTTTTCATTTCATTTTTCATTTTTCTTTCAATTAGGATACCCATTCATTTTTTAAATTGTTTTACATTTTCCGTTTCTAAATAATAAAGTGTTTATCATTGTCTGTTATTATTTCTTTTTCTATTCATTAATTTTCCTGAGGAGGAGCCAGCCTTGGTAATACTGACTGAAGGTGTTACAGGGCTGAGTAAGCCTTCACAGTGTGTGTGTGTGTGTGTGTGTGTATTGCTTTGTGAGGTATGTTCTGTGAGAGTGGGATACACATACACAGGAGGTTTCCCCAATGGGTCACAAAAACTCAATGAGTCACAATTGGAATGTAGAAGATTTCAATGAGCCAAAGTTGTTAGGAAGTATTCAGCCGGCAGAGCTTGTATTGGAGTGGAACATTGCAAGCGATGTAAAAGGAGGAACGATACAAGTTAAAACGGGAAGAATCATGGGAGGGAGGACCCAGTAGTGGTCAGTGAAGAGGCAGGGCGAGGAGCTGAGTCTCGACCCCTTCAACCACAATTAAGTATACATTACTGAAGTTAAAGAGAAACTTTTGTTTTTCTTTTTGGGCCGCCCTGCCTCGGTGGGATACGGCTGGTTGGTTGAAAAAAAAAGTTTCCATATTCTGAGAGTTTGGTTGGCTGTTCATCACAATTTTTTCACTAGCTGTTCTTTTTTTAGTGATTGGTAGACTATTATGGCAAATCTTTTTTTTTTTTTGTTCACTATGGTACTGTGATAAGTGTTCTTGTATCCTATATGATACAAGAACATTTATATAGGATAGAAGAACACTGTAATAATAGATTTACCTTGCTATTGACTCTGTGTAAAGCTTATGTGGGTGATTCTGCATGTAAGTTTCTTGCTCCTTATGTTTTATGAGATCTTAATATTGTGTACAAATTTATAAAATTAGCTTCTGTATGTAGATACAGATGTTTTTGTCTGTAACACCTATACAGTATATAGTAATATATTGTACGTATATCTCTTATTCAGCTTTCTCGTTTGGGTAGTTTTGGGAATTCTCCAAAATTTGGATTTTTAAATTTTATGTTGAGAATGAACTGAAATTTAGACTTTTCTGAACAAGCGAAAATTCAGAATTCGTATTTTCTTCTGGTTTGGTATTGTGGGCTGTTTTGTGAGGAAACATATACCTTAATATTATTTTGTTTTAATGTCTGAATTTATTTCAGTTAAACATATTGGAGAGTTAAAATGGGAAGGAAGAGATGTACTGGTGCAGGAGTTATTAAGTCACACACTACGGGATATATTGCTGTTACATGAAGATAGTGCATGCTCCCCATGGTTTGTCATTACTTTGACAATGCATCTGCTTAGGTGAGTTCAGAACATCATTGATATGGAAAGCTTGTATTGCACTTCCTCCAAACCTGTGAGTTCCTTGTAACTGGATTTCAAACCTTAAGTTTTGTACCGTTTAATATGTCCTCGTGCCTGTTATCTGTGACAGGTTTCTGGAATTCATGAATTACCCATCCATAAAAAAACTCATCTTTTGCAGATAGAAACACTGTGTAAAGTGTTGACTTTCAGGTAATGTTTAACCTTCAGCGGCTTATCAGATTTAAACCATATGTTTATGTAGGGGTCATTGCCTGTGAAGTGTTGGTAGGCAGGAAGAAAGCACAGTCAAGGCCAGGTGAATAATTAGGCAAGATAGTAAGGTCAAGTGGTGATCAACATGTTTCACAGTACTAGTTTAACAAGTGGTCTCTTCAGAGGGTATGAATGGAGGTGCTTTGATGTTGATGAAGGGGTCTGGTCCAAGGAACTGGAGTCACCTCCTTTTCCCTGAGTCAAACCTGAGTGATTACACCTGCCATCCTCTTGGTGTTGTATAACTACTGTGGAGTTAGTGCTTCCCATGAAAACAGTACAATAATAACAGTGATAGGGTGTGTGAAGGTAGAAAGTTGAAAGTGAACATAGATAAGAGTAAGGTAACGAGGGTATCAAACGATTTAGGTAAAGAAAAATTGGATATCACATTGGAGGGAGGGAGTATGGAAAAAGTGAATGTTTTCAGATATTTGGGAGTTGAATTGTCAGAGGATGGGTTTTTGAAGGATGAAGTTAACCATAGAATTGATGAAGGAAAAAAAGTGAGTGGTGTGTTGAGGTATCGATGGAGACAAAAAAGCATTATCCATGGAGGTACCAACACTCTTATATAGGTGTGAAGCTTGGGTTGTAAATGCTGCAGCAAGGAGGAGGCTGGAGGCAATGGAGATGTCTTGTCTAAAGGCAATGTGTGGTGTAAATATTATGCAGAGAATTCGTAGTGTGGAAATTAGAGGAGGTGTGGAGTTACTAGAAGTATTAGTCGGAGGGATAAAGGGGCTGTTGAGATGGTTTGGTCATTTAGAGAGAATGGAACAAAGTAGAATGACTTGGAGAGCTTATAAATCTGTAGGGGAAGGATGGCGGGGTACAGCTCAGCACCAAAGAGATTGGAGGGAGGGGGTAAAGTAAGTTTTGTGGGTGAGGGGATTTGACTTTCAGCAAGCGTGAGTGAGCATGTTAGATAGGAGTGAATGGAAACAAATGGTTTTTTGGACCTGATGAGCTGTTGGAATGTGAGCAGGGTAATATTTTGTGAAGGGATTCAGGGAAACTGGTTAGCTGGACTTGAGTCCTGGAAATGGGATGTACAATGCCTGCACTTTAAAGGAGGGGTTTGGGATATTGGCATTTTGGAGGGACATCTGAATTGTCATATCTGGCGCCTCTGCAAAAACAGTGATTATGTATGAGTAATGGTGAAAGTGTTGAATGAAGATGAAAGATTTTTTTTTTCTTTCTTTTTGGGTCATTATGCCTTGGTGGGAAATGGCTGACATGTTAAAAAAAAAAAAATGGACAAGGAAAGTTTGACGAGGAGGGTGTATAAATCTGGGGTGGAAGACAGGAAGGGAATTGGTCATCCCTGGAATGGTTGGTGAGAGGAGGGGGCACAAGAGGCTTTGAGTTTTAGGGGCTTGGGCATCCAGCAAGCTTGTGTGAATGTGTGAAATAGGAGTAGATGTAGACAGATGGTTTTAATTGAGTATGCTGCTGGAGTGTGAGCAAGGTAACTTTATGAAGGGATTTAGGGAAACTAGTTAGCTGGACTTGAGTCCTAGAAGTGGTAGGGCCAGTACCTATACTCTGAAGGAGGGGTGGGGATGTAGCAGTCAGAGGGGTAATCTGATTGTACTGTCGGCACACTTCAGGAAATAATAATAATAATAATAATAAATAATAATAATAATAATAATAATAATAAGGGAGGGGCATCTGAGTTGTAATGTTGCTGCACCTTTGGCAAGATGGTGATGGAGTGAGTGATGGTGAAATGCTTCTTCTGTTTCAGGTCACCCATACTTTGGTGTGAGGTGGCCAATGTTAAAAATATTTTTTTAAACACACCAGCCATCTCCACCAAGGTAGGGTGACCCCTAAAAAAGAAGAAACACTCTCACCATCATTCACTGTCTGCCAGAGGAATGCCATTGCTACAGTTCAGATGCCCCTCCAAACTGAGAATATCCCCACTCCTACAGGACTCATATCTGGCTAACTTGTTTTCCTGAATCCCTCCACAAAATGTTACCTTGCTCACACTCCAACAGCTTGTCAAGTCCCAAGAACCATTTACCTCTACTCCTATTTAACCCTTTGACTGTCGCGGCCGTATATATACGTCTTACGAGGTACCGTGTTTGACGTATATATACTCATAAATTCTAGCGGCTTCAAATCAAGCAGGAGAAAGCTGGTAGGCCCACATGTGAGAGAATGGGTCTGTGTGGTCAGTGGCACCATATAAAAAAAATCCTGGAGCACGCAGTGCATAATGAGAAAAAAAAAACTCCGACCGTTTTTTTTAATTAAAATGCCGACTTTGTGGTCTATTTTCGTATAGTATTTATGATTGTATTCTCGTTTTCTTGGTCTCATTTGATATAATGGAAAACATATTATAGAAATAGAGGTGATTTTGATTGCTTTTACTATAAAAAGAACCTAGAAATGGAGCTCAAAGTAGGGGAAATGTTTGATTTTTGCCAATGTTCAAAAGTAAACAAATGATGCCAATGTGCAATAAATATCCAACTAGCCATTCTAATATGCAGTCATGAATGGGTTGATGTTATTTATACAATTTTTACAGTATTGCAGTAGTCTGCATAATAGTAAGTCTTCTATTGTTTGTTTGAATAAAAATTCAAAATAGAAAGCAAGAGTAATATCAGAGGGGCCTGGAGATATGACTGATGAACAAAAAAAATGTTATTTTAGAGCCAGAAATGTCTGCATTGTTCATTCTGGACCTTATTTTGAAATTGTCACATTTTTTAGTTTTCGTGAAATTGGCCAAATTGCAAATTTCTGACCACATTATTAGGTAGTTAAAATCGGTGAATGGGCAGTTTCTTGTACTCAATCGATAGAAAAAATGGAGTTCTAAAGAAATAGCTATGAATTTGGGCGACTGGAACAATGGTATTAGCCGAAAATAGGGCTCAAAGTGGGCGAAATCGCCGATTTGTAAACAGCACCGAGGTCGCTAACTTCGCGAGAGCATAATTCCGTCAGTTTTCCATCAAATTTCGTTTTTTTGGTGTCATTACAATCGGGAAAAGATTCTCTATCATTTCATAAGAAAAAATAATTTTTTTTTTTTATAAATTTTGCGACACCAGGAGACACCTCAGGATTGGTGGTTGCGACAGTCAAAGGGTTAACATGCTATGTGTACACATCAGGTAGTCTTTATGTACAAGACAAACATTGCTATTGTGTATAGAGCAAGCATACTTTTATTCAGAAATTTTTTGGTGTTCCTATGTAAAGTATTTAACAAATGCTACAAAGTACAGGATCTGATAGTGATGTCATATTGGAGGAGCTAGCCATCATTCTGGAACTTTCACTGTTGGCAGTTTCATAGCTCTGCTTTGGGTACAGTAGTATTTACATTAACCCTTAAATTGTTCACAGTGGGGAGGGGACCATGACAGTTCTGCCATTGGCATTTTCTTATTTTTTAAATTTATAGAATAATATTTATGAAAAATTATAAATTATGAAAAGATTGCTTTGAATGGGAAAGAGCATTTTCATGGATGTACTGAGAGTCATGGAGCTTCATGAATGTATTCCCCATGAGTTTGGGAGCCTCTGTATTTGTCACATCAGAAAAAGATTAATATTTTGAAAATTAGTTTTTTCCCAAGGTTTTCAGAATGCTGAATTAATGACTTAATACTGTGCATGAGCGTGTTTGATTGGAGTGAATGGAGACGAATGGTATTTGGGACCTGACGAGCTTTTGGAGTGTGAGCAGGGTAATATTTAGTGAAGGGATTCAGGGAAACTGGTTACTTTTATATAGCCGGACTTGAGTCCTGGAAATGGGAAGTATAATGCCTGCACTTTAAAGGAGGGGTTCGGGATATTGGCAGTTTGGAGGGATATGTTGTGTATATACGTATATGCTTCTAAGCTATTGTATTCTGGGCTCCTCTGCAAAAACAGTTGAATGATGATGAAAGTATTTTCTTTTTGGGGATTTTCTTTCTTTTTGGGTCACCCTGCCTCGGTGGGAGACGACCGACTTGTTGAAAAAAAAAAAAAAGTGTCTGCCAATTTTCTCATTCTCTTTATTGCACACGAGTTAATTCATTTTATGATTTGTCTGACCAGAGTAAAGATAATTTTTTATCTCAACCATTATCACCATTCACAGTTAATAATCCATAGTTAATATGATTGCTGTCTCATACACAGGGGCCTGAAGCACCTACATGATAATGGCATTGTTCATGCAGACCTCAAGCCACCTAACATCATGTGGGATGCTAACACATCTACTTTCAAACTTGTGGACTTTGGCGTAAGCTTTGCTACTTCAGAAAAGTTTGTTCATGCTGTGCAGAGCAAAGGTACAATCAGTTTTATATTGCGTACTTAAAAATGTATTTCATCTAGATCAGTGGAATGATGAAGTAAAGGGTGTGATAAAAGAGAAAAAGGTAGCTTATGAGAGGTTTTTACAAAGCAGAAGTGTTATAAGAAGAGCAGAGTATATGGAGAGTAAAAGAAAGGTAAAGAGAGTGGTGAGAGAGCACAAAAGGAGAGCAGATGATAGAGTGGGAGAGGCACTGTCAAGAAATTTTAATGAAAATAAGAAAAAATTTGGAGTGAGTTAAACAAGTTAAGAAAGCCTAGGGAAAGTATGGATTTGTCAGTTAAAAACAGAGTAGAGGAGTTAGTAGATGGGGAGAGGGAGGTATTAGGTAGATGGCGAGAATATTTTGAGGAACTTTTAAATGTTAAGGAAGAAAGAGAGGCAGTAATTTCATGCACTGGTCAGGGAGGTATACCATCTTTTAGGAGTGAAGAAGAGCAGAATGTAAGTGTGGGGGAGGTACGTGAGGCATTACGTAAATGAAAGGGGGTAAAGCAGCTGGAACTGATGGGATCATGACAGAAATGTTAAAAGCAGGGGGGGATACTATAGTGTTGGAGTGGTTGGTACTTTTGTTTAATAAATGTTTGAAAGAGGGGAAGGTACCTAGGGATTGGCAGAGAGCATGTATAGTCCCTTTATATAAAGGGAAAGGGGACAAAAGAGATTGTAAAAATTATAGAGGAATAAGTTTACTGAGTATACCAGGAAAAGTGTACAGTAGGGTTATAATTGAAAGAATTAGAGGTAAGACAGAATGTTGGATTGCGGATGAGCAAGGAGGTTTCAGAGTGGGTAGGGGATGTGTAGATCAAGTGTTTACATTGAAGCATATATGTGAACAGTATTTAGATAAAGGTAGGGAAGTTTTTATTGCATTTATGGATTTAGAAAAGGCATATGATAGAGTGGATAGAGGAGCAATGTGGCAGATGTTGCAAGTGTATGGAATAGGTGGTAAGTTATTAAATGCTGTAAAGAGTTTTTATGAGGATAGTGAGGCTCAGGTTAGGGTGTGTAGAAGAGAGGGAGACTACTTCCTGGTAAAAGTAGGTCTTAGACAGGGATGTGTAATGTCACCATGGTTGTTTAATATATTTATAGATGGGGTTGTAAAGGAAGTAAATGCTAGGATGTTCGGGAGAGGGGTGGGATTAAATTTTGGGGAATCAAATTCAAAATGGGAATTGACACAGTTACTTTTTGCTGATGATACTGTGCTTATGGGAGATTCTAAAGAAAAATTGCAAAGGTTAGTGGATGAGTTTGGGAATGTGTGTAAAGGTAGAAAGTTGAAAGTGAACATAGAAAAGAGTAAGGTGATGAGGGTATCAAATGATTTAGATAAAGAAAAATTGGATATCAAATTGGGGAGGAGGAGTATGGAAGAAGTGAATGTTTTCAGATACTTGGGAGTTGACGTGTCGGCGGATGGATTTATGAAGGATGAGGTTAATCATAGAATTGATGAGGGAAAAAAGGTGAGTGGTGCGTTGAGGTATATGTGGAGTCAAAAAACGTTATCTATGGAGGCAAAGAAGGGAATGTATGAAAGTATAGTAGTACCAACACTCTTATATGGATGTGAAGCTTGGGTGGTAAATGCAGCAGCGAGGAGACGGTTGGAGGCAGTGGAGATGTCCTGTTTAAGGGCAATGTGTGGTGTAAATATTATGTAGAAAATTCGGAGTGTGGAAATTAGGAAAAGGTGTGGAGTTAATAAAAGTATTAGTCAGAGAGCAGAAGAGGGGTTGTTGAGGTGGTTTGGTCATTTAGAGAGAATGGATCAAAGTAGAATGACATGGAAAGCATATAAATCTATAGGGGAAGGAAGGGGGTAGGGGTCGTCCTCGAAAGGGTTGGAGAGAGGGGGTAAAGGAGGTTTTGTGGGCGAGGGGCTTGGACTTCCAGCAAGCGTGCATGAGCATGTTAGATAGGAGTGAATGGAGATGAATGGTACTTGGGACCTGACGATCTGTTGGAGTGTGAGCAGGGTAATATTTAGTGAAGGGATTCAGGGAAACCGGTTATTTTCATATAGTCGGACTTGAGTCCTGGAAATGGGAAGTACAATGCCTGCACTTTAAAGGAGGGGTTTGGGATATTGGCAGTTTGGAGGGATATGTTGTGTATCTTTTTATGTGTATGCTTCTAAACTGTTGTATTCTGAGCACCTCTGCAAAAACAGTGATAATGTGTGAGTGAGGTGAAAGTGTTGAATGATGATGAAAGTATTTTCTTTTTGGGGATTTTCTTTCTTTTTTGGGCCACCCTGCCTTGGTGGGAGACGGCCGACTTGTTGAAAAAAAAAAAAAACTTAAGTAATACATTTATAATGTTCATTGTAGTTTGTGTTTAATATTATGTAATTGTATTCTTTTGTCTGATTATGTGGGTAATGAATTTCACATTCATTAGTTGTTAAATATCTTTATTATACACCCCATACCCATCTTGTGGGCAGTAGTCAAAAAATTACAGAGGTACATAATGAGTCCAGGGACTGGACCCCAAAGTTATGATAGTTGAACTAGTTACAACGGTAATGGTAACATTCATTAAAGTTGTTCTTTGTGATTTTGCTACTTCTGATTATGCTTTCATTATCTAATTCATTTTAATTATAGTTGCATCAGAAGATATTAAATAATGTTGAAATAATGGGGGACAGCATATGAGCTGCTTTTTTATACATTATTGGTGGCAGGTTATTTAGGTTTCCTGCCTTGTTTTTTAATGATTTAATTAGTGAGACTTCAGTAGGATTTGTTGGTGCTAGATAGAGTATGTGGGTAATTACCAGTGAGGTAGTATTGTGGCTGAGTATTTACATTTGGGATTTTGCTTGCTAGTTTCAGTCTTGTAGTAGAAAAGAAGACATTAAGTTCGGGCCCTTTATGTGCATTGCATATTTGCAGAGTGTGAGACTGACACAAGGGATGTCGAAGAGTGCCTTGTGCCTTGTGTTGACTGTTTGTTCTGTTGTAGCTATCAAGGAGAAGTTTAAGTGGAAGGTTTATATTGGAGTTTAATCTTCAGTATCTGTAGTAGGAACAATAATACGAGTGTATGTCTTGTATATTTAGTAGGTTCAGGCTTTTGAAAAGTAATGGGGTGTGCTATCTGGCACAGGAGCTGGTAATCATCCACACAGCAGCTTTTTGTTGGGTTATTAAAGGTTCAAGGTGGTTGGCTGTAGCTGATCCCCAGGAACAAATACCATAGGATAGGTAGGGATATATTAGAGTGGTAGAGGGTAAGAAGTGTCATTTGGGGTACATAGTATCGTATCTTGGAAAGGATGCCTACTTATAAAGCAGGTTAGGTTCCAGGCTACCGCCATAAAGCAGAGCGCCATTTTTTCCAATATAAATGCATGTAAGTTGGTAGACAGCAACCACCCAGGGAGGTACTACCATCCTGCCAAGTGAGTGTAAAACGAAAGCCTGTAATTGTTTTGCATGATGGTAGGATTGCTGGTGTCTTTTGTCTGTCTCATAAATATGCAGGATTACAGGTATGTCTTGCTACTTCTACTTACACTTAGGTCACACTACACATACGTGCACAAGCATATATATATACACACCTCTCTGGGTTTTCTGCTATTTTCTTTCTAGTTCTTGTTCTTGTTTATTTCCTCTTATCTCCATGGGGAAGTGGAACAGAATTCTTCCTCGTAAGCCATGCATGTTGTAAGAGGCGACTAAAATGCCAGGAGCAAGGGGCTAGTAACCCCTTCTCCTATATATATTACTAAATGTACAAGGAGAAACTTTTGTTTTTCCTTTTGGGCCACCTCGCCTCGGTGGGATACAGCCGGTGTGTTGAAAGAAAGAAAGAAAGAAGTATAATTATTGTAGGTAATAGGTTGGTAGACAGCAACCACCCAAGGAGGTACTACCGTCCTGCCAGGTGAGTGTAAAATGGAATCCTGTAATTGTTTTACATGATGGTAGGATTGCTGGTGTCTTTTTTCTGTCTCTTAAACATGCAAGATTTCAGGTACGTCTTGCTACTTCCACTTACATTAAGGCCACACTACACATGCCTGTACAAGCATATATATACATACACTTCTGGGCTTTCTTCTATTTTTCTTACTAGTTCTTGTTCTTGTTTATTTCCACTTATCTCCATGGGAAAGTGGAACAAAATTCTTCCTCCGTAGGCCATGTGTGTCATAGGCAACTAAAATGCCAGGAGCAAAGGGCTAGTAACCCCTTCTCCTGTATATACAGTATTGCTAAATGTAAAAGGAGAAAGTTTCGTTTTTTCTTTTGGGCCATCCCCCCTTGGTGGGATATGGCTGGTGCTTTGAAAGAAGGAAGAAGGTATAAACAAACAGTGGTGTGCGGGGCCCGTATTAGGAGTCAGGTGAGGGGGGGAACCATATAACGAATTTTGGTCGTATTTGAAATGTCTGTACACTAGTGAAATGCGAAGGTGAAATGCTGTAAAAGTGGGGCCACTATACCTCAAAGAGCACAAACCTTACATTATTCTACTTTCTAATCTGTCCTACTCACTATGCAAATTTGTGGCTTGGGATCCACTACAGCAAATCACTTTAAGCCAATATTGCATAACAAAGAGTGGCTGTACAAATGATAAACTAGTCTTTGCTGACACACCCCTTTACTATTCAAAGTCTAAATTACTTAATATAACTAAAATTCACTCTACTTCTGTGGCACACATTTTTACAGGGCAATCAATTCTTCGTCAGTCTTGCCGAAATCTTTCTTGTAGCTGCAAAGAATCATGGGAATAATACAGGACACAAAAATCTCTGTATATTCCATTGTTGCCCATCCTGTGTAAAAACTCGTTTTGCTTTAAAAAGGAAACCTAAAAATGGAAGTTCTGCCGGGAAGATTCCAGAGTTTATCTGCCAGCCACATCAAAGTACTATTAAAAACACTTTACCTTAATGTAATCCTGCAACAATTCATTATATCCTAATAATACTTT